AGTTGAGTGTGATTTGATGAGAAGTGAACCCAGCAATTGCTACTTCCCAGCTGACAAGTTTGCTTGACTAGCCTTGAGGCAAGTACAAGGGCTGGGAAAGGAGGACAGGTATGGTACCTGTGATGCAGAAGTGGTTCAAGCAACTTGCCAATTCTGTGGCCAGATGTAGCTTACAGTGTGGAAAAATATGTCAACCTGACGTGTCCTTTAGGTGGAACTCAAACACCACAGCTGATCCTAATGAATGTCTAATTCTGGTTGATGACGTTCTTCCCCTCTGAATTTCCCCCCCCAGTTTCGCTTGCAGGGAGAATACTTTCGTGTCCTATGATTTGTGCAGTGGGACTGTGTGTCGTTAGGCAGCCGCTGTGCTCTCTCTCAGAGATACCTCACCCTACTTGTGGATGAAGAATTCTGCTTGCAGAAGCAGTGGAATGCTCCATGATCTTTGGACCAAAGGTATTATTTAAATAATTGGTGTTTCTTAATTGCTATCAAAAGAGGAGTTTCTAGATGTTAGGGCAAAGTTATCCCAGAATCATAGTGAAAGTCATGGTTCTCCTGGAGATCTTGGATATAATAAAAGGATGTTACTTAGAGAGGGGATAATGGGAAAGAATGAAAAATTAGGGGGACAGAGAGTTGTACTTTTTCATATAATAACAATATAATTAAACAATAAGCCCAGAATTTTTAAATGTAACTTGGTGTAAAAAATTGTTTTAAAAGAATGAGCAATAGGAAAAGTTTCGCGATCGTTTAAAACAGTGACACTTTCTAACTGGAGAAGCACATAGGAAACACAAGTCGCCTGAGTAATGGTATCTTTTTAAAATGTGTCCCTCGATGGATATTATATGGTTGTATGGCACAGTATTTGGGTGAAGGGCACCACAGAATTCTCTGAACTTGCCACGTTAAGAGAGTTTTCTTAAATTGTGACTTCCTTTGATAACACTTGTTCAATCAACCTGTGTTTACATGGGAGAAGGCTGGTAAATGCATTTTTAGGATAATTTAATTTAGTAGCTGCTAGGATAGCTTTCAGGTCAGGAGTGGAAAGTCTTAGAGATGTTCTGCCACCAGGAGGCTCACAGCACTGCTTGTGGAACTATTCAGTGTTGCAAGTGGGTGGAAATTTCAGAAAAATCCCCACATTAGAGAAGTCAAAAGAATGATTTACTACTTTGGTCTTTAGTTTTGTTTTGAGTTCAACAAGAAACATGGAGCAGGAGCCTTCCCATAGAGTATGTGTACCCAGTGTAAGAAAATAAGCTAATTACATCTGAGACCGTGCAAGAAAGGAACATTTTGGAAGGAACTGAGGGGCAGTGAAGGAACTTAGGAGTCAAAGAGCACAGATGTGAGTGTCTTTCAAAAGTTAATGACTACATCCCAAACTGAAAACAGCAAAAAAGAGAGCAAATGAAAACCCAGACAAGCATATTGGTAAAGCTCTTGTTTACTCCAAGACCTTTATGCTTCAGTGTACCTGTTGGGGTTTTACATGCTGGTTTTCACATGCTGGATTGGGAGGAACAGGAGACAGAAAGCACAAGCCAATCTCAAACTAAGTCACACCGAGCTTTCTGGCAATTGCCCTCACAAGTAAAGGGAGTGAAGTCGCCATTTTTCCCAAACATCGATTTTAGAGATCTTTGTCATCCAGAGGCACTGTGACATGCAAACCTCGTGAAGCTGAACAAAGCAAAGTGCAAGGTCCTACACTTGGCTTGCGGCAATCCCAGACACAACAGGTTGGGCGGAGAAGTGATTGAGAGCAGCTCTGCAGAAAAGGATTTGGGGGTGATGCTTGATGAAAAACTCGACTATGCTGCACTTGCAGCACAGAAAGGCACATGTACTTGGGGCTGCATCAAAAGGAGCATGGCCAGCAGGTTGAGGGAGGTGATTGGCCCCCTCTACTCTGCTCTTGAGAGACCCCACCTGGAGTATTGCGTAAAATTCTGGTGCCCCCAACATAAAAAGGACATTGAGCTGTTGGAGCAAGTCCAAAGCAGGGCCAGGAAGTTGATAAGAACACCTACCTTATGAAGACAGGCTGAGAAAGTTGGGGCTGTTCAGCTTAGAGAAGAGAAGGCTGCATGGAGACCAAATAACAATCGTCCAGTATCTGAAGGGGGCTACAGGGAAGCTGGAGAGCGGATCTTCATCAGGAACTCTGGTGACAGGACAAGGAGTAGTGGGTACAAGTTGAAAGGGGAAAATTTAGGTTGGATATTAGGAAGAAATTCTTTACTGTGAGAGTAGTGAGACACTGAAAGAGAGTGTCCAGGGAGGTTGTGGAATTCCCCATCCCTGGCAGTGTTCAAGGACAGGTTGGATGTAGCCTTGAGCAACCTGGTCTAGTGAGAGTTGTCCCTGCCCATGGCAGGGGAGCTTGGGACTAGGTGATCTTTAACGTCCCTTCCAAACCGTAACATTCTATGATTCTATGAAACTATGATTCAGGACAGGAATCCCCCTGTACTGAGACAAGTGGGGACTGTTTCATGAGTTTTCTCAGACTTGTTTGGGCCAAACCAATCCGGTCGTGAATCAGGCCTGTAAAGTGCATGTATTCATGTGGTTTCTTCTCCTTTCAGTGATTGGACTGAAGAGATAGTAAATAAAGGGTTTGAGTGTGACTACTGGCTGCATACTGACAATTTGAATTAATATACTTCTCCATTTTTCATCTCTGATGTCCACACATGATTTGTAATTGTGAGTCATAAAGACATCTCCAGGAATGGGTGACAAAGCTTCAAAAGGCAAGAAAGACACAACACATAGCGCTAGCCTTATTGAGCAGGGGAAAATGTGTACCTCCCCATGGACTGACCTCACATTATTCTGAATGTCAGAGATAATTCTAAAGCAACAGGTCTTCAAACCACTCTCATCTCATCAGTTATCATTGGCACCATGAAAAAGTGCCGCTTCCACAGATGGATGCACTCAGCCTGTGACCAGGAAAACTGCACATCCATACACAGACCACAGTGCTCTGAAGTGGAGCAGTGTGCTCATGCACTGGGCCATGGCCACAAAGAGGGCAGTTTGGTCTGCACCATTTGCCAGCAGCAGGCCATATCCTGAAGCTAAGTCTATCTTTCCTCTCTTACCTAGCCCCCATTGCTAATCAATTCTAGGACACAAAAAGACTTTCAATGGCCTGCAGATATGAGAGAATTGAGCACAGAATTTGTACTGAATATGCCAAAGAAATGTAAGAAGCCAACTGTGTAATTCCCCTTCCTTCAGCCTTCCTGAACACTGGCTCCAAGGATCTGCATTTGGTTTTTAAAGACATTTTGTAAAAAAGGGGAAGAAAAGCTGCATGCAGCACTGAAGTTGTAGTGTCCCAATTAATGATTCAGCTTCTCTCTATAAAGTAGCTCATGTGAGAGAAGCAGCTTGTCACACTCTCAGTGACAAGCAATTCCCCTCTGCAGGGAATGTGGATGTAATTCCCATCTGCAGACTCATGAGATCCTTCTTCATGCAAGCATCACCAGCAACATGCCTTCTCCTGGAAGATGGCAGCCAGGAAACCACGTAGGATCTTTGAGACTGTAGGATCTTGGAGCTGTCCTCACAGCTCCAAATATAACTCCTCAAGAAAGGCAAGCAAGTGTTATCTGGTATTCTTGCCTGGGTTTCGTCTCTCTCTCACTCCTGTTTTCAGTTCCGTTTTTGGTCTTTGCTCCTGTGAGACAGTCATTGCAAAACATGCCCAGCTATAGCAGTACATTCTCTCCACTTATGTCTCCAGTTGCTAAATTGTTTTAACTTCTCCTCTTACACATCTGCATTGAATTAAAAAAAAAAATAGGGCTATCCTTTATTTTTTTCTTGACTGAAAGCAAAAATTCTTATTTATTTGCTGAGAAATAGTTTCTGTAGTTTTCAGTGGCTTGGCACATGCCTTTTTATTTAGGCAGTCAGTTGCGTAGTTTAATTCAGTGGAGCCCAGCCTGGGAAGAAAACCCCTTGATAACAGTTCACCATGTAGTAGGGCAGCCAGAGCAGAAAGAGGATGACCCCTGTCTACAACAATGGATTCTGCATGAGCCCTCCCTCCCTTTCCTCCTCTTCTGCTGTGACAGCTGTATCACAGAAAAAACTATCTATATCCTCTGAGACAGTTGGACTTCTTTTTCCCCTTTCCTAAGAAAAGGCAGGATGAACCTGGAAAAATTATTGGCAGTTCTGTACGTTACAGTACACACACAAAAAATATGTCAGTGGACTGAGTGGAATTCTGTATTAAATAGAAGAAGAGACCAGAGACCCAGGGTAAAGACCCAAGTGTACCAGCCTGAAATAAAACATGACGAAAAATGGGGAACCATCAGGAAACTGACAGCAGACAGCAATCTCACTGGTTTTAAGTAGTATGACAGCTGGAGAGTTTTCACATCTCCTCCACCAAAACAAGACTCTTTGGAGCTGTTTAAAGGAGGAGAGTGAAGGATCTTGGCAAGGATAGTGTGGAGGCTTCTCCCAGATATATGGAAAATGCACACAAAAAACACAAAGGTGCTGCTAAAATGCAAACTAGCAAGCACAGACCAGTCAGATGCAGGTGCTGTTCTCTGACCAGTGCATGGGAATGACATTTGGCTGTTTACCAGGATTTACCATGAACCCAAGCACCCAGAGAAGTGTTTGCTTATGAGACAAATCACAGGATTTTTTTTCTTTTTTTTCTAAAAAGATACCCGTTTTTCTTTACCACAAACTATGTGCTGTTTAGCCTCAACTTTTACAATCGTACAGGATTTCTCTCCATTACTTTTATTGTTGTGAAGGACAGGTTCCTGTTACAAAACTGAAGGTCACACACTTCATCACTTCTGGTAGCTGACATCATCACGCCGTCTCCCCCACCTCCTCCTTCTGTGTCACCCTCTCCTCCCCCTCTACTTTCAATTCCCCCATCTTCTTCCCACACTGCCAGGTCAAGCATGCTCCCCATTCCTCTTTCCCCCGCTTCAGGCGTTCTGAGTACTTGTCTTGCCCACTGCACCCCGGGGACTCTGTGTTCCTCCCATGGCATGCACAGTCTGCAGTAATCTTGCACCACATCAGCTTCTCTGTAAACCAGAGATCTGCCGTGCCATGCTTGATGTTGTTGCTGAAGGCTGGGAAACACACAGAAGTCCTTGCACCAGTCTATGGAAAAAGGTGAGAGTAACTTTCTCAATACTCTCTCTCTTGCTAAAACTTTTTGGTTTACCATTTCTTTGGAAGTACTGGAGTGTTTTCAACCTCTAACATATTTCTTTCCTCCTTCTTACAGTGTCATGGAGGTCTGCATATTCTTCCTTTGTGCTATGATATCTGTCCCAGGTAAAAGGCACATTTTTAAACAGTTAAAACTGTTTTGATTTTGTGTGTCCTGCTATAGGATACTATCTCATCCACTAAGAAGCTCATTCCTTAGTAATAATTAATCATTTCCATTGCACAATCAAGGTCATATAGCCTATGTGTTGTATTTAAATTGTGTGCAGGTACTCTATAAAATATATATAGTAAGTACTTTCTCTCTTCAGCTTTATATCTTTATATTACACTTATTTTATGTTGCTCTTAAATTTTCAATTTAAATCTGTCTTTAAAATGTGTGTATATCACCTGTGTGTATTATAGAGAAGAGCAGTATTAAACTGGAAACTGACAGTTTGATATGGGACAACTGGAGTTTTAGGCATCTGGAGAGATCATTTTGCTGTCTGGTGCTCTAGAAGAACAGTCAAAACTTTGCAGCAGGAGAGATACTGTAAATCTTCTCCACGTTTTGAACACAGCAGAGATGTTTGTATCTTCTGGGACAGAGGACTGCATTTCTTATTCCAAGAAAGACAGTCCTCAGAGCCCTTTGCCACCCATAAAAATGGATACGTGCGTGAATGAAAGTGGGAGAAAACTCATCCTTTGTGTAATATGGTTCATCCTTTTTTTGCAGGAAGGCATAATTTTGTTTATTGACCATTTTTGTTAACAAGATCAGCAACAGAACAGTTAAATCTGACATTTAATCTGTCATTAAACTCTAGATTAATTACAGAGCAGTAAAATCTGACATTTAATTTGTCATTAAACTTTAGATTAATTCTTCATTGAGACTGAAAGTGTTCACCTGTTTCTGACCTTCTGGTCATACATTCCCTAGACAATCACATTTACCAAACAGTGTGTACTTCACATTTTCTTCAAAACTCCAATGCCGTGTTGTTTTATTAGGAGAATGAACTCAACTTTTTAAAAAGGAGTTGTGCAGCTGTCTCTTCTGGGGCAGAATTTCATTTCACTCGGGATGCTATGAACAAGAATGGTTTGGACCTTAGGCCTGCAGATTAGTCTTCTAAAATATAGATGCTCACAATCTCTGTGTGGTAAACCTTCCTGGGAAAGTAAAATATAGGAAGAAAAATAAGAAACAGTTTTATGACCTGAACTCCATAAGACTAAGTGTGTTGATTTGAACAACTACGTGTCTTGTCATACCTAGTGGGAGAATTTGTGTCTAAATGCTGGTGTTTTTATTGCCACTGCCGTTAAGTGTTGCCTCTGTGAGCCCAACTTAGTGTTCTTTTGTAGGTGGTGGAAATCTCAATTTTTCTCTCTCTCTGTCTAAGGTATTGCTGCCAGTGTGCATCAGGTGAAGGCATTTCTCAATCACACTGCATACCTATCCTGCTATTTTCCAAACTCTCAGAAAATTGACATGAGGGACTTAATAGTTTTTTGGCAAAAAGGCTCTCATAGAGTGGTGCACGAAGTATACTACGGGGAAGAAAAACGTGATCACCTTAGTCCTGAGTATATAAATCGCACCAAGGTGGATATGGACAAATGGACCTTGCAATTGTTAAATGCAGGAATTAAGGATGAGGGACACTATGAGTGTATCATCCAGCACAAAAAGGAGGGACCGCCAAAGGTCATACACACATCTGAGTGCTCACTGCACATCACTGGTAAGTAATCTCTTCCAATTGCCATCTGCTCGGAGGGTTTTGGGGGGATTCTCTGTGACTTTATTCAGTCCAGAAATATGGGTCCTGCCTCCAAGCCACTGAAAATGTACCTGCACAGGAGCGGAATTTCTAAAGGTGGATAAGAGCATTCTCAATAGGAAATCCTTATCTGTGAATGAAAAGTACTCAAGTAGAAGTAATCAGAAGTAGAAAATGAGGCAATAATTTGCTCGATATTACATGATCCCTGATTTCCACCCTGTCATATTTTACAGTGAAAACCATTCTGCCTTCTTCCTCTTGCCTCCTGCAAGTTTTATGACTTTAAGGACTCTGGAAAATAAACTTTCTTTGCATCTGATGCACTACCTTCTATTAAAAGTAGCAGTAGTTATCATCGTTGGTGGTACATTAGAATTGAAACATAGCAAGATCTCTGCAAACACCCAGCTATTTTATGATCATATAAATCACAGGGAAAATAAAGAAAAGAACAACTCACATGGAGGAGTAGAAAGTCATATGTGCAGTTAAAGGAAAACTGAAAATATCTCTGAAGAAAAAAATGTATGCATTAATGAGATTCAACCTGATTTTTTGCACCAGAGAATTTTTTGTAATAAGAGGAAAAGGCAGTAGATATTTTAACAGGAAAATGGAAATGAGGCACCAATCTTTTCCTAATATTTTCTAATATTTTTAATAATTCCTAATGTATAATCCTAATGTTTTTCTATTTTAAACTATTCTGTTAGCAACCTTTAACAAATATGCCTGTGTTCTGTCTTCCACTGTGATAGTGCTAGCCATTAATAATAGCAGCTTCTAACTTCCACTGGTGTTTTCAGGCTTCAGCATACTAATGTAAAAGAGAACAGGCCATGTGTAACTGCAGGCAAAAATGGAGTAACAGGATATCTGAGCCTGTTTAGCTTTGTGTTACCAGCAAGTGTTCCCTTGATCCACAAATAGAAAACCTAGATTGTTCATTTTGATTCTCCCAGGATCTACTTGACAAGCATTTTCAGTGAAGTTTTAGAACTCAGAAACTCATAATGTGCACTCAGTATCAAGGCCTCCAATTTAAGAGATGCTTAGCATCAATTGCTCAGTTAGTTCACACAGTTAAGTCAGTTATCAGCTTAGCCAACATCTGAGCAACATGTTATAGATATCTCATATTTAAGCACTAAGACTCTCCTACAGCTCGTAAGGTTTATCTCAGGAAGACTGTCTGAACTATGTGCTGTTGGGTTCCTTCCAAATGGCTCTTTGTTCAATAAATTCCTAAACAAAGGAGCAGTATAAAACCATATTTTTAAAAAACCCCTTCAAAATAATTAGAAGAAAAATACAGATGTTGAAGGGAAAATACAAATGTTGAAATGTACCTGTGCTTACATGCTGGTTTTTAATTAGAATCTCATATCATACGTGGAGGGCTTTTTGTAGTTTGGCATGTCGCACTTAAAATGGACTTCAGAAAGATTGTGTGCTGTACAAGAATGATAGGGCAGTCACACAAAGCTATCTAGACCACTTGATAACCAAGCCTACTCAGAAATACTGAAGTAGCTTCTAATACAGTTTACACCGGTTATTTTTATGTATTACATTAGTACCATATACAGATAGCATGAAGCTGTGTCAGGGGAGGTTTAATTGGATATTAGGAGAAGGTTTTTCATCCAGAGGGTGGTTGGGCACTGGAACAGGATCCCCAGGGAAGTGGTTACACCACCAAGCCTGCCAGAGTTCAAAAAGTGTTGGGACAATGCTCCCAGGCACATGATGTGATTCTTGGGATGCAGGGCAAGGAGTTGGCCTTTGATGATCCTTGTGGATCCCTTCCAACTCAGGAGATTCTATGACTCTATAATATGTATGTTGTATGTATTGTGTACAGCCAGGATGACATATAATAACAATGAACTCAGATCCTTCCCCAGAAAAAAAGGGAAGGCTTCACAATGGAAAACTTTGGCTCTTAAAACGTGCGAGGTAGAGACCATGATGACAAGCTACTTAACTGGAAAATCTGCTGCAATAGCATGTCTGCAATGCATCTTCTGGATGAATCAATAAGGGAAGTAGGTGAAGCTAGGGAAGCTGTTCAAAATATGCACTATTCAAAGTGCTGGAAATTAAGCTGATGTCAGAAAAGAGGCTTACAGTTTGTGACCTCATTTGAAAAGGGATGTTGAAAAACTGTAAAGTATGAAGAAAAGCTCTACTAAAGTTATCTGAAGGCTGGAAAAAATACAGTCCAACTAGAGATGTTAAAATAACAATCTGATTACCTTATAACACAGAATAATGAGAAGAATCTTGTTTCCAGAATGTGGGAACCTGAAATATACATAAAGTACTGGATATTAAAAAATTTTAAAAGGGTTAATTAATTCAGTGATAGTCAGTGTCTGGAAGCAAGTGAGAAGTAAGGCACATTGTCGCTTGAGAAAATAGAACAAAACCAAGTAGGATGATTAAGCCATTGAGAAAAATAGTAAGGGCTTGATGGATCTGCTGTCTCTTGAAGTATTGAATCTAAACCCATAGCCTTTTTGGAAGATACTATCTTTAACTATGAAAGATGTTCTGAAATGTGCTTTTCTGTTAACAACAAAAAACTCACATATATATAGTCCACACCCTGCATGCAACCAACATCACTTTGCAGTAAATTGAGGTTCCAGAAGCTATAAAACAGAAATGCCGAGTATATTCTACTATTTCCACTTGCTTACTGTCAATAAGATTGAAACCCTTAAATCACTTGGATGATGTGACAAGTCTCACAGCCATGGATTACAATCCTGCCATCTCTATAAAATATCAAGGAGAGAATAAATTCTCCAGACCAGAAGTCTGACAGCAGTCAGCTAAGCAAGTCAGACCTTGAGGAGAAAGAGGAAGCTTGAGCTTTCCTGAGGGACAACTTAACTAAATTTTGGGGTATAAAAAAGGGGGGCTTTTTCAATTTTGATTTCATATTCGCGGAGTCTCTTGGGGAGATTTAGGTGACTAAACTAAATCCTATTCCCTGTGTGCTAGGATAGAGCAAATAAAAGCAACATCATGTTTCTTCATTCATCCGTGTTAAGAATACAGTAGGGCAAGGATTAAATCCTGGATCCAACAGACTGAATGTCTGTTCAGAAGAGCAAGACCCTCTTAGGCACATATTTTTCTAAGAATCCTTTTCCCCTTCTTCAATATTTCTCCATATTTTCTTTAGTCCTATTGGCACTAAAATAATGAAGCATTTTCAATGAAGTCTTGAGTCTGTTTCTTGGGGTTTGTTGCTGATTTTTGGGAAGGGACTGTTGTTTGGTTTTTTTAAGTTGCTGTATGCCAACATGTAGTCAGTATTATGGCTACCTTCTCTCCTTCTCCTTTCCCATCAGAGTCTACTGTTTTTACAGTGACCTTTTAACCAGAAAAATCCTGGTTGAGAATATTTAGGAGATTATTTAAGAGAAAATAGTGGTTAAAATCTTCTATTTTTTCATTCATATTTTATGTTTAAATGGTTCTTCCCAATTCTATTTCACTATTTCTTGCCTGGGAAACTTCAGTTTTTAAAGCAACGGGTGTGTTTTTCATTGACTCCAATGAGTACCAAGTGACACAAAGTAAAAAAACCTTATGCTATGGTCTTTTCTACCTAAAAAGCTAAGCTAAGGGAAGCCTTAGCTCTGATGAGTGAATTACTTTATATGCTGCAAAATGTTTGCTCACAATATTGACAGACACCAAGGATATTTCTGCTCATGACAGCCCTGCACCTCCAACTTACCCCATCTGAATTCTCTCAGATGATCTCTTTGTCTACATTTCACAGTTACAAGTTTGTGGTTTTCCCCTTACCCATTCAGGAGGTCAAAAGTAGGCAGCATTGTGTCCCCTCCCCATTTTTTGCTTAAACCCTTACCAGTAAGCAGACCAGGTTTGATTATTCTGAGGTGTCAGTGTGTCCAAAGGAGGTGGGAGAGATAGAGGCCCATTGTCTTGCTGATCAGACTTACATCCTTGAAACACCCTGAGGACAAGAAGCAACAAGTCTACATATACACCAAAAAAAAAACACAAAACAAAACAAAAAAACCACAACAACAAAAAACCAACCAAAAAAAAACAAACAAAAAAACCCCAAAAAAACAACAACAAAAAAACCCCAAAACAAAACAAACAAAAAAAAAACAAAACCAAAACCAACCAACCAAACAAACAAAAAAACAAAAAAAAAACCAAACAAAACAAAACAAAAAAAAAAAAAAACAAACAAAAAAAAAAAAACCAAAACCAAACCAAAACAAACAAACAAACAAACAAAAAAAAACCCTAAAAAACCCCTTCTTGGAACACCCATTGTCTTCCTGAAGAAAAGTCTTTAGAGTTGCTTCTGCCTGAAAACCTTAAATAATTCACAGGAACTGTCAGAAATGTGGTATGCCTGGCTCATGATGCTTTCTCTTTGGTCTGTTTCAGCCAACTATAGTCAACCTGAGATAGCACAACTGCACACTGGGGAACTAAAGCCCATTGGATACTTGAATCTTTCCTGTTCATCCATTGGAGGTTATCCAGAGCCCAAGGAGATGACTTGGCTAATTTCATATGAAAACACAACATACAAGCATATGCCTCACATGGACGTCTCACAGGATGCTGTAACAAAGCTGTACAATGTTACTAGCAAGCTGAATATCCCAGTTCCTACAAACAGCCTCACTAATATTAGCTGCTTGCTTCACCTCGGAGAGCAGCTGGGAATCCTTGTCTCAGCGCCACTACATATTGGTGAGTCTCCATTTGCCCACTCCATTTTTGCATGGGTAGGAGCAGGGTGTATTGCAGTAGAGCTGATCACAAATAACAGCATAGTCAGGGCAGGGAACAAACCCTAACTCATAGTAGCAGTTTGTTACAAGGGTTGTATGTTCTCCATCTGTTTGCCACTGAACTCCCTTTCTTTTCCACATGGGAAATCTTATTACAGCAAGGAGAGGGCACAGAGAAGGAAGGCTACTGTTACACGATCCAGAACACATCATCCCTATTCATCTCTTCCCTAGAATATGCTGTAGTAGCAACAAAGCAACCTGGATGTCTGGATTAGGCAGCAACCTCCAGAGGTGATAGCTTTTGAGAGAGGTTGACACTTCACAGACTCAGAGAACTGTTGAGGTTGGAAGAGGCATCTGGAAATGATCTAGTTCAACCACTCTGCTCAAAGTAGGGTCAATAGTTAGCACAGGGCCTTATCCAGTTGAATTTTAAATACCTCCCAGGATAAAGACTCCACAACCTCTCTCAGCAAGCGTTCCAGATTTTGACTACCCTGACAGTAAAAAAGGGGTTTTTTTCTTATGGTTTAAAGTGCTCGAGCTGCTATTCTTAATCATTCCTTACAGAAAGGCAGAAGGCAAAACAGAAGAGCCCCTTGGACCATATTTGGTTCACAAACTGCCTATAGACTGTGCTGAGTTTAAGTGTAAAGGCCATGAAACTTGGACTAGTATTAGAAGCATTCCTGGTGGTTTTCATAACATTTGGCAGAATGAAGTGCACATTCCAAAATGACTATTTGGGGATTTTTGTTCTCTGAGACTGTGTCTTTTTTGAGACACCTCTTGCAAGATGAAGCTGGGGACCTGAGTTTCAATATGACTTTACTGTTGGATTATCTCAGGGTTCCACGTGACTGATCCTTTATTTAAATTAAAGCAGTATTTTATTTATTTTCTGGAACAGGAAGACACCTTTGGGCATACTTTTGTTTGTAAACTATGGCACAAGCACATCAAAATAAAGACAATTCCCACTTTGGTCATAAGTTTGTTTGTCTTGCACATGTCTCTTTAAGACAATGCTGAAGATGAAGAGCTGTGCTTCAACTGACAGGAACGGGGAACCAAGAGGAAATGGTAGCATTGCAGGAAAGCCTGCCAGGGTAGTACAGACATGCACTTTCCTTCTGCAGATGTAAAAGAACCTTGCCACTTTTTCTGAAAAATTTCTACAGTGCAGTTTCCTTAATATAAATTTAGCTAAAGAGTTAAGTTATCAATGGCAAACTGCCTCTAATGTTTTTAAAATTCTAGGACTTTTAAATAATATTAAAATACAATCCAGAAGTCTTCTAAGGTTTGTTTAGCTCTACACATTCCTTGTGAATGTTGACATGGCTCTATTAGCTATATTAGCAATAATGCTGCATCCTCCTCTTCTCAATTATTCCCTCCTCCCTGGCTTTATGAAAGTAGTCACCTGATAAGCAGAGATGGTAAGAAACCAGAAACTCCACATAAACATAAGTTTTGTTTGGCAGTAACTGAACCTCTATCAGCTGCTAACCCTACCAACCAAAACCTCAAAAACACAAAAACCAGAAATAGAGGGAAAGTCCTTTGCATTCCCTGCTACTTTCACATCCCTTCCAGCATTTCATTAGGCTTTGACCATAATTTGCAACGGATACCACGTAGTAACATATCCAAGGTTCTTTGAACTTGCACAGTAGCATTAGCACAGTAGCTGCCTCCTAGGCTCTTGTATTAAGTTGCCAATCCCTCACATGTTACCCAAACCTCAGAAAGAGTGCTTTGCCTTCCTGTTGCTGAAGTGATGATTAAGACCTCGTAGTTTCTCTGGGTTTTGGAAATGGAAATAAAACAATATGCATAGTGATTTATTGACACTATTAAAGCACTGTAAAAGCAAAGGATGCTGAGGGCCTTTACCTAAACTTCTAAGTCACTTAACTTTGGAATAGAGTGTTTAAGCTAATGTCACCAAATTAAATCTTTCCTGTGTGAATCTTCTGTGTTTTCTTATTCAGAGATACAGGAGAAAGAAGTGGAACAAGTAAATATAAATTTCTCTGGCCCGCTTATAGCTGTGGTTGTACTGGTCGCACTTCTTCTGGGTTTTGTGATATTGAAGAAGAACAGAAATATCTTGTCTACCAACCAGAGTAAGTTATTACATGTCATTCTGCTCTACCATCCCTCAAGTCATAGGTTTTACCCTTTGTAATCATCCCTTTACCTTCTTTACAGGTAAAGAGAGAAAGTTAGGTTTCATGTTGGACTTAAGCTAAACTTCCTAGGACAATTTAATTCCTGCAGGACAATTTAATTCCTATAACAACTTAGTCCATCCTGCACCAAGTCAAAACATCTTTCTCCTGTCTTGTCCTGGGATCTACTTCTCCTTCTTCTTCGTGTTCTGTGAGGCTGCCATGGCACCAGTTTACCACCTTTTCCTGTAGTTTCAACCTTTTTTTTACTAGATTTTGAGTAGATTTGGCTCCTAAAATCATTGAACTGTATAAATCTTTCTTGTCCATCACTACTTATAAGAAAGGTGGAACTGGGGAAGGGATGAACTTACATGAAGTGCAAGGATCTCCATCATCACAGAGCTGAATGATCACCACAAGCTGCCCACACACTTCATCTGCCCACACAAGAATAATCTTGTAGTAGGAACAGAATTTGATCTTTGCATTGCATTTCTCTATTTTCTTCCAAGACTAGTACTCAGCAGTCCAGGGTTTGTTTGGCACTGAAAGGATCCTCATGCTGACATCAGAGTCTATTCTTCTTTGTAGCAAAAGGGAAATGCATTCCTCAGTCAGTCCTGTTTCCTATGCAGCCAAGGGCCCTCACCTCATTCTTTTTTCCAAATTCTAAGATAACCGGACATTTACTATCAACTCTTTTTCGGCTCCTATTTATCACATTTCTGTAAATCACATATTCATCTATTTTAGGTGTCAGTCTAGCAGTCTAGAAGCTATCCAGCTTGAAACTGAGGCCATCAGCCAGACTACTGACAGAGAACTGCCTCAGCACACAGCAGGACCTGGGGTCCTATGTTTTTAGAGTCTCTGCCAGAACGAGAATCCTCCACAGATGCCCTACAGAACAACATGCAACATTTTGTCTAATGGCTGAAACCTACTGCCCAGTGTTCTCTGTTTTTATTTTTGCTCCAGGATGGTAGTAAATATGATGCTCTGCCTCTCTGCACGACTACATTTTTGATGTATCTTTTATTGCGCTCTTTGAGAATGTAAAATCCTGACAGTGAATGAAGAAAGCAGAGCTGCATGGGTTATGGAATGTCTCAAAGAGAAGGAGTTGGGCCACAATCTGTGAATCATAACCATTGCTGCAAACAGGCAGGCTATTAGTCACAGAATCAAAGAATGGCTTGGGTTGGAAGGGACCTTAAAGATCATCTAGTTCCACTCCCCTGCCTAATCATGAGGCACAAATGCTTTTGGCAGAGCCAGTGAGGCTCTGTGTACCAGTAACTTTCTTGTAAAGCTTCACGCCAGTAAGAGGAACTTCAGGGCATTTCCCCACCTTCTGAGAAAAGTCGTGCAATTCCTATCAGGCATTTGAAACTAGAAATAATCTGAAGGCAATACCTGCTTTAAACATAATTTCTGATTATCCTAATTTTTTTTAATATCATCCAAGCTTTATGTACCCAGACAGTTAGTACTTCCATGCTTTGTTCTTCTGTATTCTGACCAAATGCCATAGTAGTTGTTCAGGTGGATGCAGGGATAGAAAATAAAAGCATGAGGTATCATTCATACATGTATATATCTAAACATACAAAATTAAGCTGAGCAGATAATGAAAAAATATTACATGAGTAGGTCATGTTCCAGTTTGGTTGACTATGTTCTCCCCTTGTTAATTTTGCTTCAAAACTGAAGATAGCACAATCTATACGCTGTAGTAAGTTCAGCCATAGGAGATAGTTTTACCTTTCAGAAAAGATTCTTTTTTGCTCAGAATGTGCCAGCTTTCCAATCCTGAATGACCTCTGCACCTTATATTCTTCAACAGCACTGACATCTTTCAGGAGCAAGAACACAGCAGAACTGAGACAAAATTCTTCTGAGGTCTTGATTGTGTTTGTAGGTCTGGCATTTTCAGAAAGAGCAGGGACACAAGCATCATATTCTCAAGACAAATTTCAGCTCAGAATTGCAATTTGGGGACATAAATTCTCTACAGTTTCTCGTGCATGCAAATATTCTTTTCTGTTAAATGATATTGTGAGTTGCTAGATTCCACCTCAGTTTTTACTCTTTTTTCAAGCGTGTCAGAGAAATGCATGGTTTTTTGAGTTACCTGAACTATTTGGGAGTCAGTTTATTAAGCTATTACACTAACATTCCAAATATTTTCATTCAGATTCATATCATTCAAATGTTATTAAAAGTTAAAGGTTTTATTTTTATGTAAAAGTTTATACTTGCTAGCAAACTTATTTAATGATTTATTAAAACATATGTCTTTTTCTGTGTTGCTGTTTTTATTCTCCTGCCATTAAAGCAGTATATTGGGGAATACTTACATTTGGTGTTCTCAGGGAGGAAACATTTCCAGAATTACTTCTTGAAAACAAATGAATAAAATAAGTATTGATGAAATGACCAAGAATGGCACAACTGGAGGTTTTCATATGTTCATCTGTGGGGCCGCCTCTATGTGCACAGATCTGTGTGTACATAGCTCTTTGATCTACTGACCTATACACCTCAAAGATTAGATAAAAATCTGCAGTCTGAAAATTTTTGATTCTATGTTGGAGGTTGTCAGATATATCTCCAGTGGGTCACATAATCTTCTCTAACTCTTGATGCCATTTGGTTCCTTAATTAGTGCATGCATTAAACAGTCAGGTATACTAAATCAGATAGACACTCACTAGATTTGTGTTGTCTCTCCTGCTTTTTTTGACACATGCTGTAATTCAGTTCATTTTTTTTCAACATTTTCCTTTCCCACTCGTCATCCACCTCAAATCCTCGCTAACACTGAGGTTGTCAGAACAATAGTAAAACCTTACTTTGTTCCTACCCAAACAACGAGCCCTGGGGGTCTTTTGTCTTCCATATGACTAGATTCACACATGTACACATATGTTGTTGTACTCACAGTCTTGGAACTCTCCTGCTGGTCCCCACATTCTGATATGCTGCTTGTCTGGTCAGCTTTACACGCTGAGGGAAAAAAAACATCACCAACCTTTCATGTTTTTCTATAGGAGAAAAACAATAATCAGTTCCTCCACAATGGACAAGGGATCTGGATTCCATTTTAGGACTCAAGAGTCCTATAGCACATTCACTTAGCAGAAAAAAATAATTCCGAGCACTTGGCAATTCAACAGTTTTTGCAACATGCCTTAGTACCTCTGAGGGAGCTTTTCACCCTGATACAGTATTTGCTGTCACTATCTGTAGCTGCAGCTAGTGGAAAAAGTGACATGGTGAGTTAGGTTTATCCTTTGACAATTCCCTTCCATCATTAATTTGTTCCTAATTGGTGAAGTTGTTTGTTTTCCTCCTTGCCATCCATCTACTTTAGGCTGCCAGCCTTCTTCTATTACCTGCTTAATTTCTCTACCTCCTCTTATTCTTGCTCTTAAAATCAACTCTAATTCCCTCCTGCAGTTAAAGACATTTAAGGGGAAAAAAGCAGGTGGGCTTCAGGGAAAAATCTTAGTTTGTCTCTTTCTGTTTAAATGCATTAATCCTCTGCACTAGCAGGTGTAATGAGCACAGTGGCAAGGCACAGGAAAAGCATGGCTGATGTGCTGGTATTTTTGTCCTCTATACAGATACATTCAGATTTCCGGGCTCTCTCCTCACACACTTCACTTTTTTCTTTGGCAGTGTACTTTCAGTCATTCAGTGACTCTATAAACATGGCAAGCAAATGAATAAGCATACACCTCTATGTACCACAGCATGTAACAACTTCACTTAAAAACACCATTCCTTTATTTTCAGGTAGAACATTATGAATTGCAGAAAATACTAACAAAGAAATGGCAAAGGTGTGTTAAACTAGTATCCAATGCCCTAAAGTAAAAAAAATCCTGTCATCAGACTTAGAGTTGTGAAAGACTGCTTCAGGTTCACTGATTAACCAGCAATGAACCACCAAATAACTGAGACTGGAATGGACACAGGGAGATTGTCCAACTCAACCCCCCTGCTCAAGCAGGGTCACCTGGAGCAAATTGCCCAGGTCCATGTCCAGACAGCTTCTGAATATCTCCAAGGAGGGAGACTCCACAAAATATCTGGGCAAATTGGTGCAGAGCTCAGTCACCCTTCACAGTAAAAGAGGGTTTCCTGGTGTTCAGAGGGAAACTCCTGGGTTTCAGTTTGTGCTTATTGCCTTTGGGCCTGTTACTGGACACCACTGAGAGCCTGGCTCGGTCTCTTTTGCACCCTCCCTTCAGGCACTTACACACACCGATGAGATCTCTCCAAGGCTTCTCTTCTCCAGGCTGAACAGTCCCGGGGTACTCAGCCTTTGCTCAGATGAGAGATGCTCCACTCCTTTAATCATCTTTGTGGTCCTTCACTGAACTCTCTCCACTGTCCATGTCTCTTGCCTACCAGGAAGCCCAAAACTAGGCACAGGACTCCAGGTGGTGCCTCACCAGTGATCACCTCCCTCAGCCTGCTGGCAATACTCTCGCTGACGCAGCCCAGATACTGTTGGCTGCCTTTGCCACGAGGGCGCACTGCTGCCTCATCTTCAACTTGTCCACTAGGACACTCCTGTCCTTTTCTGCAGAGCTGTTTTCCAGATGGTTTGCCTCAGCCTGTACCTGTGAATGGCATTCTTATTCCTAAGGTGCAGGACTTTGAATTTCCTTTTTTTTTTTTGAGGTCCCTCCCTGCCCATTTCTCCAGCCTCTTGAGATCCCTCTGGATGGCCATATGACTGTCTGGTGTGCCACTCCTCCAAGTTTTCATCATCTTCAAAGTTGCTGAGTGTACACTTGCTCCCAGCATCCAAGTCATTAGTGAAGAGGAAAATCAATTAGTTTTACTGTAAATTCCTTAATGTCACCAGTGCTACTGCTATGGTTAACAGGTGACGGAACAGTGGAGTGTTGCATTTCCAGAATATTCCACAGTCACTTCTGAGAAGATTGTCATTAACAAAGTATTTCATGGCAAATGTCCCTTAATGGATTTTTTACCCTTTCATGTGAAGTATTTGCTACTGGAGGTTACATTTAACCACAGAAATATGGTAACTCTATTAAAAAAATCTAGTTCTTGTGTGTATTACCTCTGTGTTTTGGTTTCAAATTCTTTTTCTTTCTCCTTTCCAAACTCAGAAGGCAACAAGAAAAAAATATATTAAGTACTTCTCTACACTGGAACGCTGGACTGTCATAATTCATAACTGATCTCTCTTTGGTTTTCCATTTTCTGCACTAGGAGGGCCATAATGCTGAGACAGGGAAAGATTTAAGCAAGACATGTTTTCTGATCTCACGATTGACTACCAGAAGGTTTTCAGGAGAATATCTACAATTAGACAAGAAAGTTGGTGAAAGTTGAGAAAGACTTGGAAATGAATGAGGTCTGAGAAAGTGTAAGGAGAAGAGTGATACGCTGGACTGGCTTGCAACAGGAAGTGCACATGCATCAAGAGCAGAGCTGCTTCACAGACTCCAGGAAAGCTGGGAAAGGCTAGTCTCCAGACAGCAGACATGCCACTAGCAAGGAGAGGTTCTGCACAGAAGTCCAGAAATCCAGAGTACACTTACAGCTGTTGACGTGCCATACCTCCTTACATACTTCTGATATTTATAGCAGATATGCAAGATCAAATTTTCCTGCACTTCCTGGTTTCTTGATACTGACACATGCATATTTTTTGTCCATTACTTTTGTTAATACAACTCTAAACCAAAGAAACTAATGAGAATCATAAAAATTATCCCTAGCCACCCATTTCTAATAAGCAATGCTTATTATTTCAGAAGGACATAGACCTAGGAAAAAACAGAAAGATGAGTTGAGGATAGCTCAGACTGCAGTTACATACCTACATGCACAGTATATATACACTGTGTATATTGCCTGCCCTCTTCTGAAACATGCTTTTGATTTAACTTGCACAGGTGTGAAAATGAGACTATGACACAGAAGCAAAGGAGAGATCTTACTTCTTTACCTTGCACTGTTAAATGCACTACTGTATCCAGAACCATAAGTCATATCTCAAAAAGATGTTAAAATACTAGAACTAGAAAAGAAGTGATAAAAAGTGACTAAGGCTCTAGAAAGCATGTTTACAATGTGAAGTTTATGGAGTTAAACCTATACAGACAATGAAGAAAATGGAGAAAGGACCTGATGAATCTGTCTGGTATTCCAACAGTTGAATTGATTAGAGATCCTTCCTGCTGAGTGACTCACCCTGGGGAACCCAGAATTGGACACAGAGGTGTGGCCTCATCGATGCTGAGTAGGGGGGAAGGATCATGTTCCTTGACCTGACGGCAACACTCCTCCTGATGCAGTCCAGGATACCATTAGCACTCTGTCACTTAAGTTCAGTGCAGTGTCCACCAAGACCCCCAGGTCTATTCCTGCAAAGCTGCTTTCTAGCTTGTCAGCTCCCAGCATGCACTGATGCATGGAAAGGGGACAGAGAAGCTGAGTTAAGAGTCAGAGTAATCAGGTTTCTTGAATGTACATGAAAGATCCAGTATATACATACATATATGCCTACATGTTTGTACTGTGGAATAGAAGGGGACTGATTTTACACAATATTAGAGGGAAAACAAATTATGATACCTAGTAAGAGATTCTATGTGGAAAGAAAAGCCAAGAGAAACCCAAGGAGAGAAGATGCTCAGTATCATATTCCTTATCACTAGATAGCTTTTTAAAAGAATTACCAGTGGCCACAGCTTTTATTACTCAAGTTGCCAATGGCAACAGAGCATATTGTGAGCGAGGTAGAAATGAAGCTTTTCCTAACAGATCAGGCACCCAGACACAGAGGACTTTAAAACTCTGAGATCTTCTTTCTTCAGAGATTTTTCTTTCTATGCCTGGGATACCGTGCAAGATCCACTGTCCAACCACTGTTTGGAGAGTGTCTCAGCTGAGATTTGATCAGGTTGGATGGGCTGAAACTGGCAGAATTGCACTGATGGATAACAACAGATCATATGACCAGTCATCTTTGTCCAGCTGTATTAGAAAAGATAATTTAAAATAAAAAAACCCTCAATAACAACTAATTTTTTCTTCCGCTTTAATTAAACTACAGTTAGAGCTTATACTTAAAAGGCAAAGCTATTGCTTAACATCTTTAAAATCATGGGTAAGCAAGCTAGAAGTGTGCAGAAGTGAAAGCTGTTTTGCAGACCTAAGCCTTTACAGAAATTCAATTAGACTGTTCAGGAAGGTGTTTCTTCCTCAATTAGGTCAGTGGTTAAGTCCTTCAATATTATGTATGCACCCAGAGCAGAAAATGTATAAAAACAACTCAGTATAGGAACAGAGTAGGTTTTATGAAGCAATATACCAAAATGCTCCATCAGCATAACACACTGAAACATCAAACCCCAGCTTCCCCTAAAGTAATGCCAAGCAGGCTTTTGATCCCAGAACACAGGAGCCATGGCACATACTTATCTTCTCGTATCAGTTTTACTACTCCTAAGGTTTCTCTCATGGGCAAAAAGTGCACAGAAGTCTGGATTCAAGGGTATCACATCTCGGACACTCATCTGCGGGGTAATTTTGGGGTGCTGACTGCAGCTGGCCGCTCTAAACTCCAACACGAACAGCTGTAGTGGCCGTACACCACTGAGGGAAAATGTAGTTATGTATGATAATGACAGTCCTCAGTCAGACCGCTGGGCTTGGCTCTTTATTTCCTCTTTCTTCTCCTTTGCCCTCCTGGAACGCTTGACCAGCAGCGCCTACAGACCCCGGGCAGCGCCAGTGGCCTCCCCCGACCCCCTCAGACTCCCCGAGCCAGGGGAGCAGCCCCGGGCAGTCACCGCTGAGGGAGGGGCCGCCCGTGCGCACCGCTTGCACGGACACTCCGGCACCCTTTGGTTTCCACATCAGTTTTATTTGAATTCCGCGTCAATTTTATCCTATAAACCCAGAAGCGGCGGCGGCGGCACGGCCGGCTGAGGCGCGGGGTCCCCCTGGTGGCTCCGGCGGCCGCTCCCGCGGCCCGGCTGCCCCGGCACGGGGGCTGTGCAGGGACTGCTGTCAGGGGGTGCCTGCAGAGAAGTGGGGTCACAGCGTCAAGGGCTGGAAGCGGCTGAGTAGGGCCTCGGTCCCCCCTCTGGCTCCAAACGGGGTCGGCGCTGAGGCCGGGCTGAGCTGCTCAGGGCCTTGTCCTGCCAGGTCCTGTAAACACAACCACAGAATCTTGGGATCAATTAGGTTGGAAAAGACCTCCGAGATCATAGAGTCTAATCAAACACCACCTTGTCACAACTAGACCATGGCACTAAGTATCACATCCAGTCTTTCCTTAAACACCTCCAGGGATGGTGCTCCACCAGCTCCCTGGGCAGCCCATTCCAATGTTTAATCACCCTTTCTGTGAAGAAATTCCTCCTGATGTCCCACCTAAACCTCCCCTGGCACAGCTTAAGACAAGCTCCCATCCTGTCACTTGTTGCCTGGGAGAAGAAACTGGCCCACACCTGCCTACAACCTCCTTTTCCAGGTAAGCTCTGGAAAGGTAAGGAGTGGTAAGCTCTCCCCTGAGCCTTTTTTCCAGGCTAAACAATCCCAGCTCCCTCATCCACTCCTCATAGGAGTGGATATTACTCTCCTGACCCTTCCACAGCTTTGTTACCCTTCTCTGGACTTGAGGATGGAAATGGCATGGCCTTCCAGGAGTTACATGGTTGCTCTGCCTCTTGACTGTCCTCCAGAGAAAAAGTTTTACCTTGTGCCCAGCCTGAGCTGCTCTTCTTTCAGCCTCTGGCTGCCATCTCTGATCCTACCACCATGCACCACTGCAAACAGCATGGCTCCATCATCTCAATAACGTCCTTGTGGGTGTTCAAAAGATACAATTTGGTATCTCTTCTCCAGACCAAAGAAAGGGAGCTCCCTTGGCCTCTCCTCACAGTGCAGGTGCTCCAGTCCCATCACGCCTGGATGGTCTCACACCAAACTTGTCCGAATTTATCAATGTCTTCCTTGTGCTGGGGAACTCAGGACTGGACATGGTATTCTAGAGGTGGTCTAAGCAGTGCTGACTAAAAAACAGTAGTGCCGTTCCCCTCTATCTACTGGTAGTGCTGCTGTCAATACAGCCCCGGATAGCACCAGCCCTGTTTGCTGCCAGGGCACTCTTCTGTCATGAGCTACATGGACAGAAATCATCTCACCAGCATCTTCCTCTTTACACCTTTTCCCCAGAAGCAGCTAGAACTTTTGGAGATGAGGTATTGAGAACCTATGCTGATCGATTCACTCTGCTGATTGATTCACTCTGCTGATCTTTAATGTCACATTGTAGTTTTCTTGCCATTTCTCCCCCTCTTCTCAGGCCTTGCTCATGATCAATCCCACAAGCCTAGCCCACTCTCAACAAATTCTTTGCAATTTGTTTCACTCAGTACTTGGAAACTTTTAATGTCAAATCAAAAGGTACTCAGAAAACACAGAGAAAAGGAGAATTATTCATGTGAACAGCATTCTAAGGCAGTCGGGGCAAAAAAGAAGACATGGGACAACAAGACAGGTTTAGAAAAGAGGGAAAATGAATTATAAGGTATGTTTGAAAGTGTAAAGTTCCCCAGACAACTGAATGCAACAGGGAAAATTGAATTCATCCAGAAAATTGAGAGTATGGATGATAACACATCAGAGGTGGGGACAGAGAGTCTCTAAGGGGAGAAGTTCCTATTTTACAAACCATGAAGCTGAAAATTGCAGTTGATAGAAAGAAGTTTTCCTCTCAGAGAAATTATTAAGAATTTAAAGTATACTCTTATTCTTAAAAGGGAAATTATGAAAAAGGATTTGTAAAACCTGGAAAAAATCTAGTCAAAGCTTTTAATTTCAATACTGTCAGTACTATACAATCCAAACAAAATTAGGAGCAGAATGAGAACATATAAAATACCAAAATAATCCTTTTTCAGTTTTAATTATTCCCCCTCCCAACTACTTAGTGTAGTACTAAACCTTTCAGTTTACACTACCACTCTATACTTCTGAGACATGAAAATCCATTCTTTTACATCCCTGTAACAATTCCCAAGCATTTGAGTAAGTTGAATAGGCACCTGTAGGGGGAAGTTCCAGCGTCACTATTGTTACACACCCGTAATGACTCTCCCTGTGCAATGTGGAATGGTACTGACAAAAGTATTAAGCTGGGTAGGGGTGTCACAGTGACACTTTGCAAAGCATTCTTTTGCCACATTCCCTGGTGAGCTGAACATCTTAAGGAAAGATGGTGTTATCATGTCTTTACATGGTAATACAATATTAGAGTGCGCAAGCAAAGATTAAGGAAGAAGTCCTGTGACTGTGGACTTCTAGCAGCCAATTTTTGCTTTCCCTGGGAATTTTAGGAGGTAAACTTAAGAGTACATGGGACGTAAAGTCTTGGAGACATGACCATAATTATTTATTGGATTTATATAAAAATGCTACTAATCTATTACCAATCTTCTCTGAGATACTTTGTGTACATTCCTACTATTCCTATACAAGCAATATTAACTGAAGTTCTCGCCTTGACAAGATTTGAAAAGTACTTTAAAACCTCACTCCTTTTTCTTCTCTTTCTTCCTCTCACATGTGCAGGAAAGGGAAAAAAAAATGGTATGTCCCACCCTTCTAGTCATGGCAGCAGCTCTGCATGTTCCAAGAATATACAATACTCTGGAAGAAAGCCATCATTATCACTTGGGCCATTGCAGATGATACCTTGATTGTACTAGGAGCATCTTTTTTTCTACCTTTCACTGTAAATGTCTGAATAATTTGAAGCAAAATAACAATCTCTTTGCTGATATTGCCAGCTCTTAGGCCTCTTTGCCTAAATGACAAAAGTCATTGGACCCTCCATGAACTTACCTAAAACTTACCTGAAAGCCAAATTGTACAAGGACCTTCAGAAATATATGCAGGAAAAGCATGCAGAGAAGTACTTTTCCTGATTCAAGTGTACTCCTTAAATAACCTCTACTAAGTATGTTAGCAAATACAGTATATTGGATGGCAGGCAACTGCAATGGGTCTTTGCCTTCCTAGCTCTTCCAGGTGATATAAGTACAAGCAAAATGCTGTATATATGAAAAGATAAAGAAGACAGCATATCACCACAGGCTTCTGAGCATTAGTTAGGTCAATCTAGATCTTGGTGCATTAGGACCTTCACAGTACCTCAGTGAGAGAAAATCAGAAAGAAACCCAACCATTCTTTAGTGTATTATGGCAACACCACTACTCAGCATTCAGTGGGAAGATGCACTGCTTTTGTATTAAGCAAGTAGTCCCATAGAGCTGGTAGAAATGCAGTTTCAGAAAGGAGCGAGCTAGGTTATAGACATAGTAGAGAATGCAGATTGTTCTGACCTATTTGCTCAGTGGTCTCCTCCCAGTGATTAAGAAAAACACCTGTTACTGAAGAGGAACAGACTTATTCTGTTCCTTATTCTGGGAGCTGGAAGCAGCCGATGTGATTAAGCAGCTGAGCGATAAAGCCACTCTTAAGTGACCTGAAGAAAATCTGTGAGAAGAGGTAAAATTCTACAACTTTGTATCAGAAAATATAACAGACCCTCAAACCAATCCTGTGTGAACCATGCTGGCTGGGAACTAGTAGAAACATCAAAACTTCATCCCTCATCTTTCTGATAAATAGCATAGACTGGTCTAAGGAGGAGAACTTACCTGTGTAAGTTTGCATATTTGTAAAGGTTGGTGTTTTGTGTTTCTTTACATGGGAAATAGTAAAGACATTGAAGCTCCAGTGTGTTCAACAACTTCTACAGCAGAGTGGTAGTTACAATTTTCAGCAAAAGAAGCATGATTTCCCAGTGACTC